AAACATAAAACTATCATTTTTGATGGAACTCAAAGGCATGAATCTCCTACTGTTTTACAGACACCTTTTAACTGCTTTTTCTACAATATGGATTTCAATGCAATGGGAAAACAAATATATTTCCTTTTGTAAACAAAAAGTTCATATAAATGTCTGGGAATCAAAACAGTCATAAGATTTAGATCCACCTGTCACAGACCAACTGGACTCCAGATAAGTACAGTCTAAGTTTCTGCACCTGTCTATTCCTGAGAATCCATTTCCCCCTGGTCTTGTGATTCTCCCCTTTCTCCAATTACCAGGAAATTTTAGTTTCTGCCCCTAGTCTGCATTTGTCTCAACAGATATCCAATTGGCTTACAGACATCATCCAGTGTTGCAGGATATTTGATCCCATTGTAAACCCCGAAATTGTGAACTTAAAAACCTGTATCTTGTTTGGTGTGGCTCAGTCCTAACATACATCTTTAACCTAAGAGCTTTCTATTTACTGTAAACAAGTACTTGTGGTGTGGCTCAGCCCTAGCACACACCTTTAATCCAAGAGCTTTCTGTAAACAGGATTAAATCAAGTTAATCCTAGGTCAAGAGGCAGAGCAAGCAACCAGGTGACAGGGATTAAACAGAAAGGAAGGACTTTGAGAGAAGTTTATTTAAGACAGCATGAAAAAGTAAGGGCTTTTGGCTTTTTCCTTCTGGAAATGAGCTAATTAAGAAGGGCTTTTTTCCTTCTGGGACACAGGCTGAGTAGAAAGCTCAGCTGGGTGCTTTCTCTGCATCTCTGGAAGTGAGCAGGTTTTCACCCTAACAGCTAGCTCCTTAGTCTTCACTGGTAAAATGAAATGGTTGGGATTTTCTTCTTTATAACAATCTAGGGAATACCTATTGACTGCAACCTGCTGAGTACTGGACTTGCTGAAAGCTCATGAAAACCAGTCCAACTTATATCACTGTTCCCTATCCATCTGCTCTTACTGTTCCCTGTCCCTTCATATCAGATGCTTCTTTTGCCTCATTGCCCAGCCTTTGACCAGCATTTTCAGCCTCCTGGGTCCTGACAACTGATGCCCCAATTTCAACTGGAAGTAATTACAGAAGAGAATACATCTTTTCCTGCCCCCTTAACAGGCTGAAATGCTAAGTCCGTTCCTTCAACCTTCTCTGAATTAGAAATACCCCTTAGCATGAAGATCAGACCCCCTATGAAATAATATTTAGGAGACCCCCCTCCCATCTGTCCAAAAATTAAATCTGACTTGATGGCTTTTCCCTACTCCAGTCAGTTGTGGGCATTGCAAAAGACTCAGGATGGACTATATCCATCACTTTGTCACCTGCATGACCTGCCATCTGTGAAGCATCACGACTACCAACCCGGAGACCTAGTCTGAGTGAAACATCGTCAGAAAGTGACTCTGACTCCCCAATGGAAAGGTTCCCATGTCATAATACCAACCTCTCCCACTGCTGTCAAAATCTTGGGTACATCATACTCACCTAAAGCCTGTCAAACGCAGGTGCCCGACCAAAATGAACTGTTCAACAGGACCCCAAGAACTCCTCAAAGATAAGACTTATTCCTAATCCCTCCTAATGATACTGTTGCCCCTCCCATGCCAAACAGACCTTATGGCCTACTAGAGGAATTTCCCTCCAAGCCCCCTGCAAAGAAGAAATATCCTAAGGATGCCTAGCTCACTGAACAGAGACTGGGAAAAAAAAAAAAAAAAAAAAAAACCAACACACAACTCTTGGCAGGAAATGTTATACTTGCCCAGCAAATAAAAAGGCCTACCTGTAGCACTAGAGGCCAATTCTATTGTGACCATTGGGAATGAGAGACCTGGGCCCCAGGATGGGGAATTATATCCAGATGAGACAAAACTCTTGTGTAGTCCCAAGGACATGCAAACATATGACAGTCACATCTCAGACACTGAGACTTGTCCTTCCTTTTCAGTGGGACATAGGATTTACCAGGGGCTTCCAGGCATATCAGACAGGTGAAGACCCAGGGATGGAATTCACCTCTCAGAAATTAGCTTTACCTAGTCCTCCAACCCAAAACAGGCATGAACTAGGTATGCTTTTAAGAAGGGGGAAAGCACTCTGCATGGCACTAGGGGAGACCTGTTATTATGATAACCACTCTAGAGTCATTAAAAACACACTGGCTAAGGTAAAAGAAAACCTCCTCACTAAAGAGAAAGAAAGGAAAAAGCGCTGTAACTGGTTTGAATTTCCCTTCAACTAGACCCCCTGGCTAACTAGTCTTATAGAACTTGCTGTTTTTAATCTTGCTCTTTGCTCCCTGTATTATTAATGCCATAGTCCAGTTTGTACACAGCCCTATAAGTGCAGTTAAACGCATGATCCACAGGACCCAATACAATGCCCTCTATTCTGAAACAGATAATCAAAAATTTGAACAAGGTACAAAGACAAGGGGGAAATGTTGGGATCAAACAAATGCGACTTAACCTAAGTACTGCCATTTTGTTTTCAGACTCCATTTTGATCATAAAGTGAAATTAAGTTCAAGTACCAAGCTTTAAGAGAGCTGGGAACTTTGCAGATGGCTATCCAACTTCCTTCTCATTCTTCTTTTGTCCTACAAAACATGATTTTTTTTTTCTATGTTTGGTTTTTTGTTTTGTCGGTTTTTCAAGACAGAGTTTCTCCTTGTAGCTGTGGCTGCCCTGGAACTCTCTCTCTGTAGGCCAGGCTGGGCTCAAACCCATAGAGATCTTGCCTCTGCTTCCCAAGTGCTAGGATTAAAGGCATGTGCCATTTTATAATAGTATAGCCAAGCCAGTGGCTTGAGCCTATAATCCCAGCACTCTGGAAGGCAGAGGCAGGTGGATCTCTGTGAGTTCCAGGGAAGGCTGGTCTACAAAGTGAGTCCAGGACAGCCAAAGCTAAACAGAGAAACCCTGTCTCAAAAAACAAAACAAAAGGCTAGGCTCACAACCAAATATAATGATTGTCATTAACCAGGGTAAGAACAAATAATTCTAATTGATGAAATATTGAAACTGAACCTTGGCAATATGCTTATGGCTTTATGATTTTTCTGCTTAAATAGTTACTATGATGAACGTTGGAAGATTCAGTCAGCTCCTGAGTCTGTGCTGTTGTCCCTGACTGGTCAGCTTTTGCTGCCTAATTCAAATAAAGATCTTGCTTTACTGGTTCATGAGTGCTTCGAACCCCAACATCTCCACTTCTCCCAGTCCCCCCTTATGTTTCCCTTAAAAAAAAAAAAAAAAAAAGAATAGGCCTCTCAGGGATATCAACCAAACATAATTGATAACAAGACTAAGCACAAACCCTCATATCAAGGCTGGACAAGACAACCCAGTGGTAGGAAAAGGCTCCCAAGAGCAGACAAAAGAGTCAGAGACACCCCCACTGTTAGGAGTCCCATAAGAACAGCAAGATACACAACCATAATGCATATGCAGAGGACCTAGCTCTGACTCATATAGGGTCTGTGACTGTCAACTCACAGACCCTAATTCATTCACAGACCTGCTAATTCATTCTATGTTATCGTGGTGTCCTCAACCCCTCCTAGCGAGGATCCCTCCTAGTAATGGAGGATATAAAGTGTGAATCAGCCAAGGCTTCCAGCAGTGGGACAGGGATATCAACCAGCCACAAAACCTTCAACCTACAATCTGTCCTGACTGCAACATGTGCTGGGGCAATGGTGGCACAGAACTTCTGCAAGTGGCCCACCAGTGACTAATCCAACTTGAGGCCTACGCCATGAGAGGGAGCCCATACCTGACACTGCCCAAATGGCCAGGAACCAGGGACTAGACATCCCAGAGACCCAGGATGGAACCAAACACAACTGGCCAAAAAAAAAAAAAAGTCAATGAAGTGATTCCTAATGAAATTCTGCTATACTCATAGATCGGTGCCTAGCCCAGTTGTCATCAGAGAGGCATCATCTAGCAACTGACGGAAGCAGATGAAGAGACAGACAACCAAACACTAGGTGGAGCAAGAAGAACTCCACAGAAGAGGAGGAGGAAGGACTGCAGGAGCCAGAGGGTCAAAGACATTTATTTTTATGCATGTGTTTGCCTGAATATATGTATTTATACCATGTGTGTGCCTGGTGTCTAGACCCCAACTTCATGTTTCAATGTCTTTTAATGTCTTTTACTACTTTAGCACTTTCAGATGAATTAACTGTGATGAGCCTACTGTGAAGAAAACATCATTGAGAGATTTACAGATTGAATACACTAAAGTAATCAACATTACATTGATGATGAAATGGCCATTCATAATAAAGGGCATTATAGTTAACAAATTAGGTTTTTTTTCTTCCAGGGCTAGAAATCAAAACCAGGAAAATACATATACACCTAGTCCTGCCTTTTATTTTATATGATTTGAAAGGAAAGAGAGTAAAATAATCATTAATGGGCATAAAGCATTATGTACTCTTGGACAGTATATAAAATTTAAAAAAATAAGGCATATTGGCAAAAACTTTAAGTCCTAACCATTGTACTTAACAGGTAGAGGCACATAAAACTCCATGAGTTCAAGGCTGTCCTGGTCTACTTAGTGAGTTCCAGACTATCCAGAGCTATATACTGCGATCCTGTCTCAAGGGGAAGGGGGGCATGGGCAGGCAGAAACAGAGATGCTTCCAACTGACCAGTGCCAGAGATTAAATGCTTGTACCACCACATCCAGTTTTATGTGATGCAAGGATCAAACCTAGGGCTTTGTAAAGGAGAGGCCATTAATCTGCTCTCTACGAGTTAAGCCACATTCCTGACCCCCTGGTTAATACTGATAGAAAATTATATCTTTAATAACAACAGTAACAAAAAAGTTATGAATGGGAGTATATTCATATCACCAAAGTCTCAAAAAGCAGCTAAAAATATGAAGGCGGCAGAAGAGCCAATGGACTACTCAAGATCCAGCAGCCATACTTTTGCACAACGATCATTCCAAACAAGACCTCTCACCTGGGACGTCCTGGTGTACTCTTCATACAGCCTATCATACTCTTTGCTCTTCTCCTGATACTGAGAGTGGAACTCTTGCAGGTTTTTACCTACTGCATCAATGTTATCTTCTTTTACCAACTGATCCTACACAGGCAGACAAAAACAAAATGAAGCAATTAATTCCAGGACTATTTACATTCAAATTATATTTCAAGTCCTGTTTTAATAGCAAGCACCAAAACTGTTCTGATTTTATAAAGATTTCGTTTTGTTTCTTTTTTTAAAGATGTATTCATTTATTATCTATATAGCAGTCTGCCTGCATATGTGCCTGCACGCCAGAAGAGGGCACCAATCTCATTATAGAGTGCTGTGAGGGATCATGTGGTTGCTGGGAATTGAACTCAGAACCTCTAGAAGAGCAGCCAGAGCTCTTAACCCCTGAGCCATCTCTCCAGCCTTTGTTCTGTTTCTTAAAACAGGGTCTTACTATGTAGACCTGTCTAGCCTGAAAATCACAGTGATCCTCTGTCTCTCTAGTGCTAGGATTAAAGGCATGAACCACCCAACAGGCAAGAAAAACACATTTAGTAACAGATTTTAAGTCAGGTAAAAATATAATTTTTAAAATTAAGAAATATGGGGCTACAGAGATGGCTCAATGCTTAAGAGCCCTAGGTGCTCTTACAGAGAACCTGGGTTTGATTCCCAGCACCCAGATGGTGGCTCAAAACCATCTGTAGCTCCAGTTCCTGGGTTCCAATGCCCTCTTTTGGCCTTAATGAGCACATATATACATGCACAGATATACCAAGCAGGCAAAACAGTCATATACATTAAAGTAAAATATAACAAAATTTTTAAAAAGAAAGAAATAGGACTGGAGGGATTGGAGAGATGGCTCAAAAGCTGGAAGTACTTGCTTTCAGAGGACTCAAGGTCATTCCCAGCACCCACATCCAGTTGTTTACAACTGCTTGTAACTCCAGCTCCAAGAAATGTGATGCCATGTCTCCTGGCCTTTGCAGGCACAGATACTAACACACACACATGCCCGAAAACACACACACACTCTTGCACACGCACATAAAATTTATAAATTAAAAAAAGAAAAGAAATAGGGTTGGAGGGACAGCTCAGTCTGTAAAGTGCCTATTACATAAACATGAGGACTTGAATCTGATCCTCAGCATCTAAATATAAAGCGAGGCTTGGTGCCACATGCTTCAATCCCACTGATACGGAAGAAGAGATGGGTGGATCCCTGGGTCATCCAGTCTAGGAACATGAGTAAACCCCTGGTTCCAATGAAAGTCTGATTCAAAACAAAAAGATGAGGACTAACACCTAAGGATGACCTCTGACCTCAGATACACTCTCCCCTACACACACACACACACACACACACACACACACACACACACACACACA